AAAAAAAAAAAAAAAAAAAACCACAGTTTGTGCTGTGTGTGGGATCCCCAAGGAACAAAGAAATTGGGGGTGTGGGGAGAACAAGCTCTGAACGGCTCTTGAGAAGTGCTACAGATCATTCCATCTATGTGTGCTTGGTACCATACCATTCTGTATTTTACATATACAGTATTGCTCTATTGCCCTCCCTCCCGTTTTTTGTTTTTTGTTTTCTTTCTGTTTTTGAGACGGAGCCTCCCTCTGTCGCCCAGACTGGAGTACAGTGGCGCGATCTCAGCGCACTGCAACCTCCTGTCTGTTACCTGGAAGCCTCCTTCCCACTTCCAGTCTTCCTGCCTTTGCTTCAACTTGTCCCGCATTTCCAGACCGAACGAATGTACTTCTTACATATATTGATTAATGTCTCATGTCTACCAAAAAGGTATAAAACCAAGCTGTGGCCCGATGATCTTGGGCACATGTCATCAGGACTCCCTGAGGCTGTGTCACAGGAGTAACCTCAACCTTGGAAAAATAAACTTTCTAAATTAATTGAGACCTGTCTCCGATTTTCCGGATTCACACAATTAGATATAGAATGGGGCCGGATGTGGTGGCCCATGCCTGTAATCCTAGCACTCTGGGAGGCCAAAGTGGGCAGATCACCTGAGGTCAGGAGTTCAAGACCAACCTGGCCAAAATGGCGAAACACTGTCTCTACAGAAATACAAACATTAGCTGGGCATGGTGGCAGGTGCATGTAATCCCAGGTACTCGGGAGGGTGAGGCAGGAGAATCACTTGAACCAAGGAGGCAGAGGTTGCAGTGAGCCAAGATCGCACCATAGCACTCCACCCTGGGGTATACAGTGAGCCTCTGTTTAAATAAATAAATAAAAATAGGGCCAGGCATGGTGGCTCACGTCTGTAATTCCAGCACTTTGGGAGGCTAAGGTGGGTGTATTACTTGAAATCAGGAGTTGGAGACCAGCCCATCCTAAATAGCAAAACTGTCTCCACTAAAAATACAAAAATTAGCCTGGTATGGTGACTTAAGCTTGTAATTCTAGCACTTTGCAAGGCCAAGGCAGGCAGATCGCCTCAGCTTAGGAGCTGAAGACCACCCTAAGCAACATGGCAAAACCCTGTCTCCACCCTGTCTCTAGCTGGGCATGGTGGTGTGTGCCTGCAGTTCCCAGCTATTCTGGAGGCTGAGGCACGAGAATCATTGGAAACTGGAAGATGGAGGCTGCAGTGAGCTGAGATCGTGCCACTGCATTCCAGCCTGGGTGATAGAGTGAGACTCTGTCTCCAAAAAACAAAAACAAAAACAAACCAAAATTGGCCAGGTATGGTGGCACACGCCTGTAGTCTCAGCTGCTCTGGAGGCTGAGGTGGGAGGATCTCTTGAGCCCGGAAGGCAGAGGTTGCAGTGAGCTGAGATTCCCACCACTGCACT